ATATATGTTTTAGTATTTAATGATTTAATTGATAAATTTAATTTGAATATATATATTTTAAAATTACCTTGATAATTATAATTATTTTTTTGGAACATGGTTTTTTTTTTGTACATGCCTTAATTGTTATGATTAAATATACTTATATGTTTTTATGAATTAAAGAATTTTTTTTTATGAATTAAGGTAGAAAAAAATAAATAAACGAATACGGTGATTTCACATAATGGATGCTTACATAACAAAATATTATTTTATAATCAATAATAGATTATATACATATATATATATATTATAAAATGAAGTAAATAAAATAAAACATAGACATATTAAAAGAAAATTTCAAATATGTAACGCAGTTGTAGACTGGAACGGAGCATTCCAAAATTGGAACAGGACATTCCAAACTACTAAAACAAGGATGATTTAGTAGCCCAGAATAGGTCGTTCTCAAACTGGAACGGGCCATTCCAGACTACTAAATAGGCCTGTAAATCCTAGTTGAGAACGGGTCATTCCAAACATGATTGTTGGGAGTTAAATTCAACTCCAGAACGGGCCGTTCTGCATGTGAATTTTACACAAGACGAAGGAGCCTAGAACGGGTCATTCCGAATTCGAAACGGGCCGTTCTGGTCACTCTTAACCTCTATAAATAGGCGTTGAGGAGGGGGAGAAAAGGGGAACTTAGAGAAAAGTTTTAGAGAGAAGTTTTAGAGAGAATGACTCTAGGCTAGGAAGCTTGCTTTTGGAAGATTGAGGTTCCCGGGTTGAGCTTTAGAAGGAAATTCCGCTTCTTCTCAGCTCTTGGCAATGCTGAGTCAATCTTCAGGTTAAGGGAGCTTCATGCATTGTTTTCCTTGAAAATGGTTAAGTTGTTGGGTGTGGATTGAGTTAAAAAGTTGGGTTTTGTTGTTTGAAAGAAAAAAGATGATTGATTTAAATTAGTGGTTGCATGTAGCTGTTCTTGTATTTTAGACGTTGTTTATAACGTGGTTAAGTTGCTAAGTTGCTTGATGAAGATGAGTTGAGTAGTTGTTGACTTACGTTGTTTATATGTTGTGTGTTGATAATATGTGATATGTTGTTAAATTTGCTATATGTTGTGTGTTTGGTGAAACTAAGTTGTTTTTATGTTGTTTATTGTTGAATTATTAATAAGTTGAGATGTATAAGTTGAAGTAGTTCATTGTTGTAAAGTTGATATTATGTTGAGTATAGTTTTTTAATTAAGTAGTATAAAGATGTCTATTGCTGTAAAGTTGTAAGTTGTCTATCGTTGTAAGATGTTTATTGTTGTAATGTTGTAAGTTGTCTATTGTTGTAAGATATTTATTGTTGTATTGTTGTAAGTTTCCTATTGTTGTAAGATGTCTATTGTTGTATTGTTGTAAGTTGCTTATTGTTGTAAAGATGCCTATTGTTGTAAAGTTATTATGATGCCTATAGTTGTAAAGCTGTAAAGTTGTTTATTGTCGTAAAGTTGTAAAACTGCCTGTTGTTGTAAAGTTGAAAAGTTGTGGACATATGGTGAAGATATATGTCCTATGTTGAGATACATAGTACTAAGGAGATAAGTTGAAAGTTATTTTAAAGTTGAATCCTTTATACTATGTGGGCGACATGGAAGTAGTTGATCCATATCATGGTTGAATGACCAATTTGAGTAAGGTATCTAGCTAGAGATGTAGTCTTTGACTAGGTACTGGAGGGTGTGTGGTACTTAGAGGACAGTGGGTGGGCTAACTCCATATGTGGATTGGTGATGCTAGCCAAGGCCGTGATAGGCTCATACCCAAACCCTTCTGTCCTGACAGTAGTACTGGACCTCCGAGTCTAAGTGGCACACCTGAGCAATCGCTTATTGTTGTCTATACCTGATTTTCTTCAAAGTTCCTAACGATGTCCTATACCTGACCTGGTTGAAATAGGTCAAACGCTGGATTCAGTAGAGTTTATGTCACCTAGACTGCTCAACCTCAATTGTTGGAGATCTCCTAGTTGTATATGCGTGACGACGCATTAGTTGATGTTGCATGGGTTGTTGCATTCAAGTTGTATATAATGTTGTATGAATGAGTTGATAGTTGAGCTATTGTGATAAATACTATGTGATTGTGTTGTGATGAGTTGTTGATCACTAGGACTAGAGGAGAAGTTTTCAAAGTTGTTAATCCCATTGTGCGGATTGAGATAGTTATGGTGCTCTAAGAGCCCAATTTGTTTAAAAACCATCCTTGGAAAGTTGTCCCTTGGAATGGATGATTTGTTGTTCTCCTCTAGGACTTGGTTGGTCCAATGTGTGGCAAGGTTGAGGCACACGTGTATGAAGCGACCACGGTATAGGGGTCAGGCCGAGCTATACCGATTACAAGCGGCCAATTTGAGTAAAGTGCGATGTGTTGAAAGTGTTGCTGATGTTGTATATCTATTGTTGTAGGTGTTGTGTTGCTTTAAGTTGCAAGTAGAATTCTATTGCTGTTTATTATATGCTGATGCTATTTTTTTATGATTATTGTTGTGAGCTTACCCTAGCATGTTTTCCCTTGTGGTTGGGACTGCGATGACCATACATTGGTATGTGAGCAGATCAAGATTAGGTGCTCTGCTGGATTGGGTGAGCTTCTTTTTAGTTGGAACTAAGGAGGAGGGCTGATGTTGTATTTAGTTGATTGGTACATTTTAACTACCTAGTTGTTGTATAGGGTATTATTCCCTACTTTCAGTTATATATATTATAAGACTTTTTAGTTGTGTATTCTAATTATATATATATAATTGTTTAGTAGTAAGATTTTATTTTATACTTGTATCTGGACGCTATAGACAGTGTGAGACTTGGCGGGTCATTATACCAAGACCTGACGGGTCGTTACAAAATAAGTCTTAATTTAGTCTTTTTCATCTCCATCTCTATATTTTAAATTAAATTTATAATATTTTTAAAAAGTTACCATTCAAATGATTCATCATAACTTTAAAATATGATTTATATATTAAATTTTTAACTACAATATAACTGTTTTATTTAAAAATATTTATCTATTACAATTTTTAATTATATGAGAGTAAACATTTATCATATAAAATACAGAAATTAAATATTAATTATATTAAGCAACAAATAAATTCAAACGTGAGTTTTCGTCAAACCCCAAGGCCCAAACCAACTTTGATAAGAGAAACTCAAGTTCAAATTTTTCACAACCCTGAAATTAGGTTCAAGTTTTTTTCCATCTTATAAGATTGCTTTCGAGTTTGGATTTAAGAATATAATTTACATCCTTCTTATCATGCTCTTATCACATACGTATTTTGTTGTCATGCCTAAATTTACCCTATATATTAAATTAGAAAATATATTTTAAACAAAATGCATTTAGATACTATTTTTCAGTTATTTTAATAAAAATATTTTTCAATATTTCCCATAACTTTTTTATTTCATCTAGAGTTATATATATATATATATATATATATATATTTATATTTATATGTATATATATATA